TATAGCCAAGCCGGTTCCGCCAATACAGCCCAGCAGGTGCCTACCCAGGAACCTCCGGAAGCTCTCGTGCGGCGAGAAGAAGAGCACCAGCAGAACTGGTGGCATCAGCGTGGATGGTATGATGATCAGTACCGAGGATGGTATCATGGACAGGGTTGGCGTGGCAGCGAGGTGACCTATGACACGACCGAGTGGGGCCGTGGGCAACTTCCAGAGATCGTCCCGGCCTTTGTCCAAGGATGGTATCTGTTCATCGACTCGGGTTTGGATGTGATGGAACGCAATGTTCTTCAGGCTGAGTTGAGAGGTGACTTCAGTGTTCAGGCCGTTGAGGATGTCCTCCGAAAGCACTGGCCGGACGTGGAGCTGAAGCGCCGCGACGCTGAGAAGAGCAAGTTCTTTTCCAACTTAGCCGATGCAGAGGATACCTCCGATGACTGGGCATGTTGGGGGGAAGAAAATCCGGAACAACTGGAGGCCGAGGGTTACTCGGCAGAGGAGATCGAATGCTTGATGTCAGAGCAACAGGCGCAGAAGGAGGCCTTAGCCGCCATTCAAGAAGCTCGCAGAACCTTGCGAGATGCACGAGCTCGACAACATGCAGTTCGAACAGCTCGCCAGTTTTATCCGGTGAAGGGTGGCCGACCTATGGGTGCTGCACGACCCTCAACAAGTGATGGGAAAGGAGGCCCTATGAAGTGTTTCAGGTGTGGGGGGCCTCACAAAATAGCCAATTGTCCTGAAAGACCTCGAGAAAGCGCCAATGTGACCATGACCATGGAGGCTGATGAGCAAGCCACTTTCATCTTCCTGACGGAGCACGTGAATGAGGAGCATGAGGCCCTGGTGTCGACCACTGAGCCTGTCAGTGGTGGGCCTGCATTGACCACTGCCGAAGTTGTCGAAGCAGGCAAGGCTGTCATTGATGGAGGCGCCACCAGATCCATCGGATCAACTTATGCTCTGAACCGTGTCCTGGAGCTGAATGAGGCAAAGTACGGCAGTGATGGACTGAAGAGCCTGGATATGGAGGATCGTCCAGCCTTCGGCTTTGGAAATAGTAGCCGAGAGCGCTGTGTTTCAACAGCCAATTTGAATGTGCCTTGGAACAATCAAGAGGGCATGATCAAAGTACATGCTCTCGACAAGGGCACGTCACCAATTCTTTTGTCCATTCACTCCCTCGAAAGCTGGGGGCGGTGATTGATTTTGAGTCCAATTACGCTGTTTTTCGTAGTGTAGATCCTTGTAAACTGATTCAACTTGAACAGTCGGCGGCCGGGCACCAAGTACTTCCCTTGACGGATGATGTTTTTAAAGATGCCACAGTTTTGGGAGAGCCCGTGCCGTCTTTTGCGGATCTTTGCTAGGGACAGCTCCTTTCCACTCGCTTCCCTGCGGCGGGTAGAAAGGTCAAGTGTGTTGCAGGTGTGGATCATGGGTGTGAAAACTATCGGGGGTTAAGGGGTTGTGCTGGTGATGCGGAGAATCGGAAGCCGGTACATCCTGACCTTGGTGAGCTCGGTGTGGTGCAGAGGGATTGGCCCGGAAGGAAGGTGAATCAAAACAATGAGAAAAGAATAAGCACCCCAAAAACCCCGGAGCGTTTAACAAATCAACCAGGAAGGAAGGAGAACCTGGAGGAGAGGAAAATAATAAGTCCCAACAAAAAAGCCCTGGACCCAAGCAACTCATGCGCGGCCCCGTTGGGGCAGGAGGAGAGCCCTAGCTGTCACTCCAAGGTACGGCATGTGTGGCACACCAAGGAGAGAGTTCGGGGTTCACAAGGGTTGCATGTGCGACCTCCAGAGGGCACAAGACGAACACAGAACATGTCTGAGTTAGTCGGGAGGACTCAGCTGCAGTGCTTACCTGAAGCACATCCGGTTCAAATCCCCTTTTCTTCAGCATTAGTGCTCACTGATCCTTTTGCCCATGGCTCTGGATCGTTTGTCTCAGGCGGATCTCCGGGCTCGTCTGATGGAGCTGCATCAAGAGGAAGCACCCCGAGGGTGGAGCCGGGCCAATCTTCTGTTGCGCCTGGCCGAGATCGAAGGGATGGGTGTTGTCCACAAGACATCCAAGAAGATACCTCCACTGAGGCAGGCCGAGATCATGATCAACAAGGCGTCACGGAAGAAGGCGCTGTTGGTGGAGTTGATGGAAACTCAGATGAACATGTCTGTGACTGGCAACGAAACCATCGAGCAGTTGAAGCTAAAGGCCCTCAACCAGGCCTATGCTTGCTCTCCTGCGCATCCGCAGGATCCTGTGGGGTTCGGTACCCATGCAGCGAAGACCTACGAGGAGGTGGCCAGCCAGGAGCCATCTTACCTAGAGTGGGCTATCACGACCATGAAGGAGGGATCGTGTTGTCCGCGACTGAGACGTCTGGCAGAGTGGGCGGACACATCCGCGGGTCAAACACTGATGATGGAGGGGAAGAACGGCCGCCACAAAGGCGGAAAAGTCCCACCAGGCCGTCAAGGCAAGATGGCTACCAAAGGCTACGTGGCGCCCCAGCCGTCATCGGGCACCATGGCCAACTTGGTGAACCAGGTGGAGGTCTTGACCAAGGAGCTGAATGCACTCAAGGGTCAGAAGGCTCGGAAGACCCGGACCGAAGGGGAAGAAGTTTCTTCGAGCGACTGGGACAAGATGAGCTCGGCGCCGTCGGCAGCATGATCGCTGAATCAATGGTGGTCACATCAGAGTCGTCGGGGGAGCACCTCCTTGGGTCAGAGTATGAGCGGCAGAGGCTGGACAGTGCAACTTGTGAGAGGCTACGGAAAGCAGCAAATCGCTGTGATCCTGATACTTTTCAAGCCCTGGTGTCACATGGCAGGCCTTTATTGTTTGAGATTGCATGCTCACCTGAGAGCAGAATGACCTCGTGCATGCAGCAAATGTGCGGAGAGCCGGAAAAAGCGCGTCGGTTTGCATTTTGGAATGGGTATGACTTGTCATCCAATACAGGTGTAAGAGGTATCATGAGCTGTATTGAAAAAGAGCGTCCCATGCATGTTTGGTTGAGCCTGGAATGTGGACCATTTTCTCCCATGCAAAACGTCAATCAACGAAGTGAAGCACAATGTGAAGATCTGAAACGGAAAAGAGCGACATGCATGCGTCAGTATGTTGGAGGTCTTCTCATTTACACGTTTTGCCATCAGTTGGGTATCACATGCACATGGGAATGGAGTGAAAAATGTAACGCATGGAGACTGCCCATGGTACAAAGAGTGTTCAACAAGATAAGACCGCGCTTCGTGGTGACCAAGGGTTGTAGGGTTGGCCTCATGGATCCTAAAACCAAGTTGTTGTTGTCAAAAGGGTGGAAATTGGCCACAACACATGAACTGCTAGGTGATCGCATGAACATGCCATGTCAGGGAAATCATGAACACGGAGCATGCCAGGGTCACCTAGCTCGGGAGAGCGCTTACTATACAGATGAGTTTGTCAAGCGGGCATGCAGAGCCATTTTGGACGGCGTGTCCCATCAGGGTTTGTGGTCCGAGTTGAGGAGTTGTCAGGAACACACAGTTGCGGCAATGTCGTGTTCATGTGAGGATGTGTGTCATCCCGCCAGCGACCTGCAGTGTTGTGTATGTGAAATGGAAAAACATAGAAAGGACCCTCTCTGTATGGTTGGTGAGGCGGAAGGTCAAGTGGTTCCGTTTACTGAAGCCGAAAAGGAAAAACATGTCAAGATGTTGTATCAGCTTCATAGGAATACTGGACACGGCAGCATGCACAACTTGGTTCAAGCTCTTCGAGCAAAAAGGGCTGACCCCAGAATCATTGAGCTGGCTCAAGAACTGAAGTGCTCTGTGTGTGAGGAATCTCAGCGGAGGACCCCACGACCAATGGCAACATTGGAACCTTTACCTCCAAAGTGGAAGGTGGTGCAAGCGGACTGTGGACACTGGACACACCTGACCACTAAGGAACAAGTACAATTCATTATCATGGTTGATGAGGGTTGTCGGTTTCGGGTAGGTAAGATAGTGAAGGGGGGTCCGAAACGAGGGGTTCCTGGAGCGGCACTGATAGAGTTTTTTCAGGAACACTGGAAGCCAATTTTCGGTAAACCTGACAAACTGAGAGTGGACCCTGCAGGACCGTGCAGATCTCGTGAGCTTTCTGCTTACTTGGACACCCAAGGAATTGAGCTCGACATCATTCCAGCGGAGGCACATTGGCAACTCTCTCATGCAGAACGAGTCATAGGTAGTGTTAAACATGTCATGACTTTACTGGCTCGGGAAGACCCCACAATCACCCCTGAAGAGGCCTTTGCTGAAGCTTTGCGGGTTGGTAATGAGAAAGAAGTGATAAGGGGGTACTCACCCATGCAACATGCACTGGGAAGATCTCCCGGCGCGTCGGGCCGGTTGCATCTCAGTGACTTGGATGAAGTACCACCTGTTTTGTGTGAAAATAGTGGGGGAGAATTCCAACGAAACTGGGAACGCATGAAACAAGCCGAACAAGCCTTTTCTGAATTTGTTTATTTGGAAAGACTGTCCAGAGCCAAAAACAGCAGGAGCTACACCCTGAAAGAGTTTGTTCCGGGGGATCTGGTGTATGTTTGGCGGGTTCAAGACAAGAAAGGAGGTACAGGTCCCAAAAAGGGATCGTTCACCGGGCCAGCACGAGTGCTGGCAGTGGAAACTCGGCAAGCTGAGGACGGAAGTTTTCGTCCTGGGTCTGCAGTGTGGGTGGTTAGAGGCAATAGGCTCTTGAAGACATGTCCACAGCAGCTGCGAAAGGCATCTGCAAGGGAACAGTGCTTGGAGGAGTTGAGTCAACCAGTAGATTTGCCATGGACTGTCACTAAGTTGACGGATGATTTGGGAAAACAGGAATTTGAAGACGTCATGGATGAAGTCCCCACTGAGCTTGACTATGAAGAAGGAGTGGATGAAGAGACTGGTAAACCACCTACAAGGGTCTATGGAAAACGGACAGTACCCGAGTGTCCAATGTCAAAGGAGAGTAAGAGAAAAATTGAAGAACGAAACTTGAAACGCAAACAGCAGGAAGAAGCAGCATCCAAAGAGGACGCCCCGACTGAGGACGGCCTATATGCTGAGTGTTTCTGGGGGGATGAGCTGGCGGCAGTAGAGATAGCTTTCGATGTGCCTGAGACCAAACGTGGTAAGGTAGGCATGGTTAGTGATCTTGGAGCATTCATGGTTAGCCAACTGAAACGTAGAGCAGTCGAAGTGAGTGAACGTCATCTTGATGAGGATGAACGAAAGCTGATGCAAGAGGCAAAACAGGTTGAGGTTAAGAAATTTATTGGTGCTGAGGCACTGGAAGTACTGCCTAGTCACCTGCAGCCATCAAGGGACGAAGCCATGCGGATGCGATGGGTTCTCACGTGGAAGAGATCGGAGAGTGGAGAACGTTCTGCAAAGGCACGATGTGTGATCTTGGGTTACTTGGACCCGAACTATGCCTACCGTCAAACTGCTGCACCGACGCTGTCAAGGACAACGAGACAATTGCTGCTGTGTATCTCCAGTTCACTGGGCTTCAAGGTGTTCAAGGGAGATGTCTCTGGTGCATTCCTTCAAGGCAGGGAATACAAAGGAACAGCTTATGTCATTCCCACTGAAGAGATTTGCGATAGTTTGGGGATCCCACCAAACTCAGTGACCAAACTGCGGAAGGCCTGTTATGGCCTGGTGGATGCTCCATTGGAATGGTTCCTTACGGTGTCAGACTACTTAGAATCCTTGGGTTTTGTGAGATGTGTTTCTGATCCTTGTTGTTTCAAATATGTGTTAGGGAACAAACTGATTGGACTGATTAGTGGTCATGTTGATGATTTCTTGTTTTGTGGTCGGGATGATTGTCAAACTTGGAAAAACCTGTGTGCGCAAATCAAACAAAAGTTTCAATGGGGTACTTGGGAAAGTGATGTTGATGGTTTTACTCAATGTGGTGTTTTTATTCAAAGAATGTCCGATGGTGGTTTTGAACTGTCCCAAAAACAATACGTGGATGACCTCAAGGAAATCAGTGTTTCTGCGGAGAGAAGGAAGATGATGGATGAAGAAACCACGGAAAGGGAGAAGTCCAAACTTAGGGCCGCCTTGGGAGCATTGTCATGGCATGCACAGCAAGTAGGACCACATGTATCGGCTGCTGTAAGTTTGCTGTTGTCACAGGTAAACTGCAGTAAGGTGAGACAAATGATCGAGGTGAACAAAGTCATCTATCAAGTGAAGGCAAACAGGAAGCATGTCTTGAGGGTTCATGGTGGTCTGAAAATTCATGACATGATAGTAGCTGGTTGGGCGGACGCTTCAGGACAGAACAGAGTCGATGGAAAAAGTACTCAAGGTCTTGTCGTAGGTGTCACTCACCGAGATTTGCTGCGAGGAAGCATGTGTCCGGTGAGCTTAGTGTGTTGGCAGTCCGCAAAGATCGGACGGCAGTGTCGGAGCCCTGGAGCAACGGAAAGCTTAGCTGCCATAGACTGCGAAGACCTGTTGTATGCTGTTCGCTTGCAACTCTATGAGATGCGAGGCGGAACTGTTTATGTCCGTCGGACCGCTACGCATGTTGCCCAAATTCCGTCTGTGTTGGTGACGGACAGCACAAACGTGTATGACCGTTTAAACAATGAGGTTTATGTGCCGAAGGGTCCAGAGAGACGTGTGGCTCTGGAGATGCTAGGTCTCAAGGATGCTATCACGGAAACTGGGCTGTCCCTTAGGTGGGTCAACAGCGATGCTCAACTGGCAAACTCTTTGACAAAGGACACTGAACCCCAGCAACTTCAAAGGTTTTATCAACTGAAACAAAACTGGAGGATTGTGGAGGATCCGGCCATGAAATCTGCAAAGAACCGTCGCAAACTTGGGTTGGATGCGCTGGAAGATGGTTCGATGTTTGAACCGGCTGGGGGGCATGTCAGTTCCTGAACCGTTCACACCCATGTGAAACATGCGTATGTCACTTGACACTTTTGCAAGTCATTTGGATCAAAAGCGGAGAACCCCCTGTTGCAACTTGGCCAGATTGCGGTGAAGCCATCTTAAGTGTCGATATACTGTGAGGGCGATCAGTGACTACATCCAAATACATTTGAGGGAAGCTTTGCCGATATATATCTGCAGTGGTTGGAGAACAGAGGGAGGCTACCTGCATCCTATATATACTGATTCCTAAGACCAACAAAAAATCATCTAAACTTATTGTTGATGCTTGAATACATACCCCAGTTACCCTCCTGTAAGTTAGCATAGATGTGGGCAAAATCACCATTGGTTTTGCACATCTACGTCAGTTTACCCTAGGGTTAAATACATAGATATGTACATAATCTATATTTGAATGGTTTTTGTTCACCACCGACGTGAGGCAGCGAATACCCAGAACACTCAGTTGGTCAGTGGGCTCTGCAGCTACTTACGCGATCACCAGCAGTCCTTGACGACACCTGGCGATGGCTACGATGTTTTGCTATGTTCTACCATGTAATACTATGTTTTACTATGTCTTACTATGCCATACGATGTTTCACCATGTGTTACTCATAGTATGCTGTACAATGTTTTACTATGTTGTAATATGCTATACAATGTTTTACTATTCTATACTATGTTTTTTGCTCTGCTATGCAATGTTTTACAATGCTTTTCTGTGTTATAATATGTTTTATTATGCTTTACAATGTTACACCATCTTTCTCAATGTTTTAGAATGTTTTTCTATGTTTCTCAATGTTTTTTAGTGTTTTACTATGTTTTACAATGTTATACTATGTGCCTCAATGTTTCACAATGTTTTACTACGCTTTACACTCTTTTACAGTACATTCTTTTTCTATGGTTTATTATGCTATACAATGCTTTACTCTGTTTTTTTTAATGCTATACAGTGGTATACAGCCCGAGAGTTGATTAAGAATCCAAAAGTTTGAGGCCCAGGGTCCCTCATTTTTTTCAAATGCAGGCAAATTTCCACAAAATAGGTCTAGGGTCCCTCAAATTCTTAGAGCATTCTTAGTTATATATGTGTTGTATGAGTCTGCGCAATTTGAAGCTCGCTCGTAACAAGGTGGAGTTGGCAGATTTAACAAGGGGCATGCGAAAAAAAAAAAAAAAAACACACACTGAAAAATTGTTTCTGAGGTTCACAAGGGCTGGGCCCAAAAAAACAAATCAGGTCGCAAAGAATTGTTCTTTTCGCAGCCGCAACCCAGGCCAAACCCCCAGCTCCTTGCAGCCAGCTCAGAGAGAGAGTAAAGAGGGAAATTCTCCGGAGTCAAGGGTCCTGTAGCACAATGGTCAGAGCGTCGGTCTTCAGACTTGAAGGTCGCGAGCTAAATTTTCATCATGTTATTCGGGGAAAACAACGTTTCAGGTTCCCAATTTAATCCACATATTGATTTTGAGTGGATCGGAAGCAGTCCAAGCATGTGCAAAAAAAACATTTTTTCGCAACTTGAAAAATTGATTTTCTGCAAAACCCGATTTCATCCCATAAGGCTACAAGGGGTCATTCCACAAAAAGGAACCGCAAAAGGGAATTGCAACCTTCCAGTTCCAATCCCACAAAAGCAACAAAACTTCACGTATAAACAGTAATGTAATTTTCAAAATTTGGCAATCCTATCCCAGGGTCCCTCCCAATTTTTTAAATTACTATGTGCTTGGTATAGCTGGAAATATGTAGCCCACATTGATCGGAACCCCTCAAATTCTTATAGAATGCATTCCTATGCAATATTCAACCTGCACTACGTTATATTATGTTATACTATCCGCTATATGTCACACTATCATAAGCCAATATGTTCGAAAATCCAGCCAGAACCAGTAAGGCTTCAGGGCAATCCCTAGACGTCGTGCGTCGATGATGGACAACTGGGTTCTTTCTCGAAGAAATTCCAAGCAACAAAAACTGGGGAAATCTGGGATGGGAATGTATTAAAAGCCATGAGAAATAGAAGTTCAACCAACAAAACAAGGGATTTGAAACATCGAAGCATGGGAATATTTGCGCGGAGAACTTTGGATTCGTATTTTAGTTTATAACATATGTTGCTATTTTGATGGGGATAGAGTCATCTAACCAAGAGAATGGTGGATTTACAGTACCCCAGGCACATGCTATTTTTATAGGACAACACGATGATCATGCACTGGAATGCGGATGAACAAAAAGATACGGGTGCAAACCAAGGGACATGTTAATTTCATGGAGTAGCACTGAATCAACTGTACCCAAAAAAAACAGGGATTTGATTCCTACTATGTAGACGGTAAATTATGTCTATGTTTCTAATTTTGTAAGGACACCTATTTTTGGGAGCCATGGGTGATTGACCCTGCTTGCGCAGCCACACTGGTATGTCTCCAATGGGTTGACTCAAAAAAAACACCCCACATCCAGGGTTTTAACATGTTCGCCCCAACCCGCCCATATACAAACAACACACCCAGACAATATCAAATACTTGTCACCTGAAGATGAACGAAAACACTGGCTACATGCAGCGATTTTGACTTTAGGTTTCAGGATTTAAGGTTCTAGGGTTTTGGATTTTAGGGTTTTAAGGGTTTTAGGTTTTGGGGTTTTGGGGTTTTCAGATCCGACTGGTGGATCACAAAAAAAGGACCAGCTGGAGAAGGTCAACACTGGACCCCGGACCATAGATTTGAATATTTTTTGTTAGTATGATATATTCTATATAATGTAATTATAAACATTTAGTGTATATACATAATTATATATATAATTATATATATATATATGTATTGGGTATCCCAATTAGTATTTTAAATATACAAACATCTAACATTGGGGTACCCAATTTTGACTCATACCACCCATACTTTCCGAAATGGCATTTTGCTGTTGAATTCCCCTTTTTTTTGTTTCTCGCGTTCGCTGCACTTACTCCCCATTTTTAGAGTCTCCACTTTATTATATGCCTGTTCCCATCAAACTGGCAATTGGTTGGGTATAAAAAAAATCACGTCCTCTACGTCTTCTACGTCCGCAACGTCCTCCGTCCTCCACGTCCACGTCCATTTTCCCAACGTCCGCATGCAACGTCCTTCACGTCCCTGACGCCCTTCTCCATGGTCCTCAACGTCCTACACGTCCCTCACCTCCGCCACCCTCCACTGCGTCCTCCACGTCCCCTAGCACACTTCCCTAACGTGCGCAACGCCCTTAACGTCCTCAACGTCCTGTCCGGCGGTGCCACTATCCTCAGCGTCTCCGTCCCCAAAGTACTCTTGCCCCTTACATCTTGAGTCAGTCTTGAATGATGTCCCTGACGGTCCCTGACTTCCCTGCCTCCTCAATGTTCTTCATATGACAAACCCTGATAATCAACGCAGAACAGTTTTTGGAGATGTTTTTTAACAACAAATAGACCAGAAACGCAGACTCGGAACATTTCAGAACAATTTTTGGATCCAATTCCTCTCAAAAGAAGATGTTTCCATTTGTTTCCCATGGCCCATTCAACCCCGAGATCAACGTAGTTCTCAGGACATCCTTGGAAGCCATGAGAGCGCACCAAGAAATTGGTCAAATGGTGCAAAGCAAGTTGAGGCGCGTTTTTTCAGTCTCAGAATGGTGGATCTAAGATGATCTAACATGATCTAACATGATCTAACCCCAGATTTTTTTTCTAACCCCAGATTGTTTAGCCATAACGGCCATGACCGCACTGGGCCTCTGAGGGCCCGTTACATCTCAGCTTCATCCATTTGGTGGCCTCACATGGCTCAAAAAAAACTTGGACGACTGATGACTCAACGCATGGCTCGTAACGCATGGCTCGTACAGGATGGGCCCGCCAGTGATGTTTGTTGGTTTATAACACCCATTAATGTATAGTTATCTATATTTCTTTAGTTATATCTACCACAAACCTCGTTTTTTCGCCAGAGCCATATCTCAACTGCGTTTTTTCGCTTTACGGGGGCCCCACACTGTACTGGAATAGCCATGATAAATAATATATGAATGATTATATGATTTCATATGATTATATTATATGATTATAATATATGATATTACATATAATAATCCTGGGTAATCAATCTATATAATGATTACAATACGATATTAAGAAGCTTTAATACACTATTAATTCTTAATAAACATGATTCTTATTACCATCATAGCAATAACCCTAAAGCTATAACTCTAATAATCACCATTCTTCCGAACGCCGAAACTGCCTCGCTGACGGCTTTTTTTTTTCGAAGCCAGGTCCTTTGCCTTGAAGGTCTTGGTCAAGCGCTCGCAAGGCGCGGCACGCGCATGTTCGATGTAGCGAGGGAGCATGACATGGAAGAAACCCCACAATATGGGAGATACTTGGGATAAATGGAAATCTCATGGGAATATAATCGCATAAAAAGAGATTGGAAACGATGACATGGTGATCTTTTTCTGGGGATTTCATGGGAATTCATGTCCCATTATAAACTCTATGTTTATCATTACAACTTCCATTTGTTCCATGTTTTTTCCCATTAAAACCTGGTAATCTACGGTGTTTCATCATGGGAAACCCCATGGACTTCTCGTCCTGAGGCGTCCCCTGCGACATGTTGGAACTCGCCTCCCAGTCCAGCGGACAAAGGGGCGATCTGGTGGGCGGCAACAATGTGCAGGCGGCGAGTGTTGCGGGCGGCGAGTTGGGGGGATGGGAAAATCCATGGTTTCCCGTACAGCGGTGGGGCCCCCGGAAAGCGAATGATATGGCTGTGGAGAAAAAACATGAATGTTTATGGTAGATCTTTCACGAACTAGCTAATGGGGATATGGGGGTATTCTCATGGTTTATAAACTAACTTGTATGCTGTATGGGGATATCTAGTCATATCTACTATGGATATCTATGGATATTGATCTGTTATGGGATTTGATGGGGAGATGTAGCATACTACTAATTATAAATATTTAGCATTATTTAGCTATAGCTACTATGGGAAGCAGTGTAGATCTCCATAGTAGACATGTAAAAGAACGATGCTTGGGGACACATCTTGTGCTGGAAGATTCTTCAGATGATTTCAGTTCAGGTTTTTTTTATTTTGCCAACGACTCGGTTGGTGCTGGAGATTAAGATACACACTCGGTGGTTTCTTAAAACCCATGACAGATCCATGGTGCTGCTATATATGGTGTGCCATGGATCCCATCAATATACCCCCTTTCTGTTAGCATTTTTTTCCCAGCACCATGGATCCGTCATGGGAAATGGGGATCCCCAAATCACCACGGAATACTAAGTCTCAATACTAAACTGATCTAATGACTTGGATGATTTGGGAGTACCACCATTTTAATTGCACAAAAAAATGCTCGGTTTATGGTACAAGGTGAGGCCCCCCAGATGGCTAAGTTGACACACACACACACATACACAACTTGTTTAACTACCCTCTGGTAAACTAACATAACTATGGAAAATCACAATTGTTAATGGGAAAATCCACTATAAATCA